GTGCTGCCGTTATTGCTGCCGGGCGCTGCGGAGCTGCTCTGTGCTGGCTGCAGGTTCCTTGGCGTGTCTGGGATGGTGCTACTGCTGCCTGCTGGGACGCACTGCTGGTGTAAGGCACTGTACGGTGGTGGGGGGGTTGGCGGGCGGTTCACCACTTCCTCATAGGGAGGTAGTAAATAGTTTGGCAAAAACCCTACAAGTGGGAGGCAAGTGGAGAAGTTATTTCAGGAGCAGCTTATCTCAGGAAATGAGGCATTAATACAGGTCGGGATGTCATTTGTCATCTACCAGCACCTTCCCACTGACCAGCTCAGTGGGCTTCACAGGGGGTGCCAAAATGGGGCCCCAGTGAGACAAGTCATGTTTTAGAGAAGCAAGAAATGTGGCACAGGAGGTGATGGACAGAGTAGCCTGATCTGGCTCTCAAGTCTATACTCACAGCTACCAGTCAAATCTCCTCACACTGCCCTGGACCACATGCCCCAACACGGCCCCATAAACCGCACCAGGGCACGGCCTGTGCTGGCTGGAGGAAACAACATGGGAGATAACTCCCCAGCCCTCTCCAACTCTGGCTTCTCAGCCAAGTTTCCACTCTCAAGAGCAAAGATTCCATCTCACAAAGCATTGTGCAAATATGAAGAAACACGAGCGGTTACAACGAACTCGGGATGATGGTTTTTGGTTGCTGCTTTAGTGATAGATTCTATTCTTCTGGTGCAGTCAGAATAAATTGCCGGTACTGGCAAAAGAGTTTGGTTTATTGCACTTACAGCCCCTCAAAGTCTTACTTACAAAGTCCCCTCAAAACAAAACAAAACAAAAAAATCTATGAAAGACTTTGTTTATTTCTTAATAGGCAAAAATAGTCTATATAGACAGAATGGACTTAAATACTGGAAACATTTAAGGACAGCATTGCACTTTTCCATGTGCAATAGCGTATCCCTGGGGCTGGGGAGGAAAAGGCTGCTGGGGATGATTTCTGACGTGCCTGCCAGAGTTTAACAAGAAAAGCAAGTTCATACATGCAATTCAACAGCCCATTACAGGAAACTCAGCTGTGGTACCTCCAGTCAGAAGGCTGAGACTTGCTGTTCTGGCAGAGTGTAGCAGGACACAAGGAGAGCACAAAATGACTGTACTACCCCTGAGCTGTGGGCAACAGCTTCTTTGTGCAAAGTCCTAGGGCTGCTGACTAGCAGGTGGTCTGGGAACTGCAGCACAAGGTGGGACCAGCACAGTCCCTGCTGAAGCATCACTTCCCCCCAGTCTGTGTGACCAAATTTCACATGAAGCCGCTTCCCGCATCTCAGTCTCACCAGCACCAAGTGCAGGCTGGAAAGGAGGAACATCCACAAGAGATATTTTAAGAACCTTTGCAGAAAAACGCCCAGGGAATCACTTCCCTCAGTGGTGGGTGTGAAGGTGCTGTAGCTGGTGTGGTTCAACTTCAGACTCAATGGTGTTCAAATGCCTCCAGCAGTTGGAATATGCTGACTGCTCACCACCTCTTACTGAGTCCAGCTACTGCTCCTTCCTTCTACCCAACACAGCAAACTCACTGCTGCCCTGCTCCCTGGGGTCTCCAGGAAAACCAATGCGAGATACATACGGAAATAAAATGGCAGGGCTGAGTAGTTATGGGCTTCCCGGTAAGCGATCAGGTTGATCTCGTGTTGCCGCTGCTGCGCCTGGAGACGATGCTTGGTACGTCGGTGATGGCAAACACAACAGCAGCTGAGGATGATGATGATGGTCCACACCAGCCAAAACCCTGCAGCGAGGGAGAGCAAGTGTTAGCCATAGTGTGAGAGCCACATCCAAACCCAGGAAACCACAATGGAGTAGATCATCTGAAAGGCTTAGATCCGAACCCTGCACTGCTCTACAGGCAGAAATATGTGTTGCATCAGGAGGCTTCAGCATGGACCTACCTGCCTGCGTGGGAAATTGCTGCTCTGGCAGCCTGGCCAGAACCAGGTAACTCTCTACACACTTTGGTATAATGTGGATCATGTTTCAACAGGCACAACACTGGAGAAGAACAAAATATGGAGACAGGGCTAAGCATCCCCCTCCATCGCTCCTACTCCTTGGATATCAATTCTTCTAGCCAAAAATATGAGCAGAGCTGTGAATAGCATTGAACTTGCCTCCCACAGCCACTTGGGCCTGAAAATAATAATCAAGACACAAAAGACACTTTGCAGATTGACCACAGAAGAAGAGAAAAACCCCAAGCACTATGTTTTGCTTTTGTTTGCACTGCTCTTAAATTTCCAGCCCCAATCCTTCATTGTTCTGTTTAACAAAAACATACTCTTTTTATATAAATGTCTCAAAATATTTTTAAAACTTATTTTTGTATTCAATGTCTTAAATTATCCAAAATTAAATTAAACTAGCCCCCCACTCTGAATCCTCAAGAAACCCAACTTCTGCTCTGTTTGTGGCCACGGCTGGTTTCTGTGCACTGTTGTACTGAACACACACTGCTCCTTAAAAGGGGATTTTAAAAGAGCACTTCCTGGATTTTCTCCATTCCCTACAACATGTGCAATGATTCCATCTCTCCACAGATCTCCCTTCACATTGCATGTGCTGGAAAAACGTTACTGAGACACACTTCAAAGAGCTGCAACATTGACTTTGGATTAGGCTTTTGTCCCTCAAGTGCAGCTCAGAGCTCTACCTGCCTGAAGGTGTCTGCGATCCATTGTTTTCAAGCTCCATCTGTGCAGCCAAGGACACTGGGAGAGCTCCCTCTTTGGAAACACGCAGGCTTGGCCGTCACTCCTCAGCAGAGATCACAACATTGTTTTTCTCTCTGTAAGACCTCTGCCACTCTTCGCTATTCCCAAACAGACAAAATGAAGATTCCGGCTGCTACAGTCCATATTCAGCGTGGTCCGTCCATCCTGTGCAATCAAACTGCTCTTCTCTCCCCACTAAACCCCTCTAGTCCCACCTTTACAATACCTTGCTGTTTTCAGCATCCCCTGCTGAGTTTGCAATGTTTTCCCAGCTAAGAGCTGGGTGGGGAAAGGTGAACAGTTTAGGAATTTGAAGAATGAGAGAAGTATTGCTCCGGCTCAGGACAAAGTGCAATCGATTCATATCACCCATCTCAGAGACCTGCACTGGGCTGTTTATAGGTGAACTGGATATGCTGCATCTGCCTCTGAGCACTCTGAGCAGGGACTTTCACCTCCCTGTGTTGTAACCCAAATTCTTCATGTATTTTGGTGCAGCAAACAGAAATATCTCTCTTGCCTTGCACAATCTAGTCCCCTGATCAACTGGAATCTGCCTTACACCCAAACTTATCAAAGCCTGCTATCAAATGAGGGTGTAACATGCCACTTTACTTTTTTTCCTGCTTGGCTGTAAATCAGGGTTCCTGGGTATTTTCTCTATCCATCCTGCTCAGCTGTATCAGACAGGCAGAGAGTGGACTGTGATCTTCACTCCAGAGAAGCAAAGGATGAAGCACTCAAGCTGCCCTCAGCACTTGCCTCAAATCGAGCCGAGAAAGTGTCCACTACCCTCGAAACACCCTTCTGCTTCTAAAAATAGCCTTTTATATCAACTAAAAGGATTGGTCTAGTCCACCCTTCCCTCCAAAGCCAGGCATTTGCAACCACCCTTGTAGCCTCTAGCACTACCAAAACCTTGCTACGCAAGCACAATGCTTCAACCATCTCACAGTTTGAAGACTCTCACCAATAAATACACTTTATTTCTTGCTAAGAGAAGGTCCCTTGGCTCTTGCTTGCTGAGGAAGCAAGAATACACTCATCAAAACCAGGTCATTGGCACAGCATGCCACCATGCACTTGAGGCAGGCCTGCAGTTCATCTTCTAAGTACTCCTTATTTTCAAAGAGCAGTCCGTGATCATGTGTTCAATAACAATGGAAAATTACACCCAGCTATCCAGGGATTTTAGCTACAGTTATGAAAACAGATGCTTTTTAACACATTTGATCATGTCCTTTTCCAAGGACTCTAGATGCAATGGTAGCAAGCAGCACTTAGTTAGTTAAGATGTCCTGGAGAACTGCCACTATTAAGCAATCTCAGCTGTAGCAGCCAAAATATTTCTGCAGGGAATAACTGCTCCCACCCAAGCATGCATCCAGAAGATTAAAAAAGTATTTCTTTAGAAAACTTCTCTACCCATTCCAAAAAAAATCCCAAAGTGCTTTGCAGACAAACTGATGCACAAGCTCAGAGCAGGGGTCAAAATAAGCTCAGCCATTCCTGGGAAGAGGTGTGGCAATTCTGCTAACAACAGGCAGCAACAACATACAACAGGATAACAAATTTTTTTGCTGAAACCGCAGGTGGCATTTGAAGTAAACAGATCCCAGTTTGCTGGACTGCAATCTGGCCATGGTGCCAGGAACATCACCTCTGTTCTCATGCAAAGGGTCTGTGCCTGCTTGCAAACACGAGTGAACGAAATCTGAGGTTTTTCTTGAGAATTTCCAGAAACAGAACCCACTAATACCACATTATTGCCTGGTTTCATTAACCACTAACACTTCCTAGAGCTTCTAGGAATTACTCAACTCCTGACTCAGCATGAGCCTGAGGACTGGCCTGGATGATCACAGAGCAGTAGCATGTGCCCACCACAGCCACTTGCTGGCCTGGCTTCTGGTGTCCTCTTTAATGGCTTCATCCCCACCTCGTCACCCAAACACACTGCAGGGCTGGTGCATCCCCCAGCGCATCGGCAGCAATCGGATGGGACACCCATGGGTGCTGAGGCACACGAGGGGCTCCTTGGTTGCTGCTTGGGCAGGAGTCTCAGCACTGAGAGGTGGTTTGGGTGCAGCTCTAGTTGCAAGTCCAGCACAGTGCTAGGAGTTCAGGGCCTCCATAAAAGGCTCTACAACACACACTTGCCAGACGTTTGGGCACAGCTGCAATTTTGGCTGCAGAACAGAAAAGCCTAACAAATATATACAGTATGGTCATTGATTTGGGATAAAACTATGTGGTACAAGGCCAAGCGCAGTTGTAAATATTATGTCTAAAAGTATGGAGAGAGCAGTGAAGATGTCCATGGCCGAGCTGTGCATTTGTACACCTGGTGATGTTTGGCTTCAAACCAGCAGCAGGGAGGTGAGCCAAGCAGAACCACTGGCCCATGCACCCAGCAGCTCATTTGTCAGAAGGGGAATTTCAAATTCACCCAAAGATAACACAAGCAGGAAATGTGGAGGCTGAGCACAGCAGCGTTACGTGCTAACATCTCCTTCATGGCAAAAGCAGGTACCAGCTGTGCCTTGTGCTGAAAATGGGTGAGATATAAAGAGGCAACTAAAGTCTGGCATTAAAAAGCCTCTACAGGCCAAGTAACACAGAGCTGCTAGTTGTCTTCACAGTCCCCAAAAGCCTTCCCTGTTTCCAAAAGCCTTCCTTGTGCTCTTCAAGATGCACCTGCTTCCCAAATGGACACGAGCTGCTTTTCAGCAGCTCTGTGCTGAGCTACTGCTGCAGTCACTGGAAAGTGAGAACAGATTGGGAGACACTGGGCATCCTGGGCCAAGTTTGCCATTGAATGTCTGATAAAGTGCAAACAGCGTATTTGGAAAAACAACTTGCGATGGCCAGCCTGAGCAGATGCAATGTAGCAATCTGGAGCAAAACATGCACCAGGGGACCATCAGGCTTGAAGACAATTTCAAGCTCACTCTTGGTTTATGAAAGAGTCAGAAATTGGAGAGCCCAAAACAGGCTGAGTCCTGAGAAACACTGCTATATTTTCTGTCAGATTCACTGGTGATGCCAATGGGTGGATAATGATGCAACCAAAGGTGAAATAGACACAGCCAAGGAGTTGATTTTTGCCAAAATATTTCCCTGCCAGGACATCAAAACCTTTCATAAAAATAAATAAAGAAGCACTGATCTCCTACCCAGCATCAGACAGGCTCAGAGCTGTAAGCCTGACATAAGCCAAGCTCAGGGAACCAGAATGGAGATGCAGAAACACCTGTGAACAGAATGAGCTCCCACACAAGCCATCTCTAACAACCAGAGGAGTACTGAAGAAAGAGAATGCTGCTACACCTACAGCATCCTTGAGAAAGGGAATACCATCACATGGTTATGCACCAGAGATGTTTTCTACCAGCTGTGAAAGAACATTCTAGGCTTAAAGTTTCAAGAAAAACCTTTCTAGGACACTAATCATAGTTTTGCCCAAACTTAAAATAATTTAAGGTTTAAAAAACCAGCATTCCTCCCTCATGAAGAAGGAGGGAGCAACGTTTGGTTTGATGCTGTACTGTATTTGCTGTCCGGGATGTTGCCATCAGCATTGCCATTGAGGGAAGCTCCTTTAATCCTGTGCAAAATGGAATATGTTTTCTGGAGCATTCCAAGGGTAGAAACAGAGAAATTTGCCCTCAAGTTCATGGTAAACTTGGGCAAATGCCATGGCTCTGTTGGCAGGAAGTCCCCTAAAAGCAAGCCAAAACATACTGCAAAGTGTCTTTGTGTCTGCCCAACAAGCATCTGGGTAATAGCTTTGGCTCCACGAGAGCTGATTGTGAACAGAAGGAGAAGTGGAACAGTTTCATTGACTAAGAAGTGTTATCCCAAACGGTCGTCTCACAGTCAGCCATGGCTGGAAAAGAATTGTCTTTCCCAGGGCCAACATTATCATCGAAAATAGAACAGAGGTTTACTTGGTACCACAATGTGGATGCACTTGGGTTCAATCATGTCCTTTGGAACGGAGACCCCACCATCTCCTGCC